CTAGTACTGTGTTGACTAGCAGTGATAGTGGACATCCCTGCCGTGTTCCTGACCTTAGGGGAAAAGTTCTGTTTATCCTCATTGAGAATGATATTCGCTGTGGATTTTTCATAGATGGCTTTTATGATATTGAGGTATGTACCCTCTATGCCTATACTCTGAAGAGTTTTTTTATCAAGAAAGGATGCTGTACTTTGTCAAATGCTTTTTCTGCATCTATTGAGAGGATCATATGATTCTTGTTCTTTCTTTTATTTTTATTTATTTTTTTAAAGATTTTTTTTAAATTTATTTATTTGACAGAGAGATAGCACAAGTAGGCAGAGTGGCAGGCAGAGGGAAAGGGAGAAGCAGGCTCTCTGCTGAGCAGGGAGCCCAGTGCGGGGTTCAATCCCAGGACCCTGGGATCATGACCTGAGCCGAAGACAGCTGCTTAACCAACTGAGCCAACCAGGCGCCCCTGTTCTTTCTTTTATTAATGTATTGTATCACATTGATTAATTTGCGGATGTTGAGCCAACCTTGCAGCCCAGGAATAAACCCGACTTGGTTGTGATCAATAATCCTTTTAATGTACTGTTGGATCCTATTGGCTAGTGTTTTGGTGAGAATTTTTGCATCCATGTTCATCAGGGCTATTGGTCTGTAATTCTCCTTTTTGATGGGGTCTTTGTCCATTTTTGGGATCACGGTAATGCTGGTCTTATAAAATGAGTTTGGAAGTTTTACTTCCATTTCTATTTTTTGGAATAGTTTCAGAAGAATTAGGTATTAATTCTTCTTTAATGTTTGGTAGAATTCCCCTGGAGAGCCATCTGGCCCTGGGCTCTTGTTTGTTGGGAGATTTTTGATTACTGCTTCAGTTTCCTTAGTGGTTATGGGTCTGTTCAGGTTTTTTGTTCCGTCCTGTTTCAGTTTTGGTAGTTTATACATCTCTAAGAAAGCATCCATTTCTTCCAAATTGTCTAATTTGCTGGCATATAGTTGCTCATAATATGTTCTTATAATTGTTTGTATTTCTTTGATGTTGGTTATGATCTCTCCTCTTTCATTCATGATTTTATTTATTTGGATCCTTTCTCTTTTCTTTTTGATAAGTCTGGCCAAGGGTTTATCAATCTTATTAATTCTTTCAAAGAACCCGCTCCTAGTTTTGTTGATCTGTCTACTGTTTTTTGGTTTCTATTTCATTGATTTCTGCTCTGATCTTTACTATTTCTCTTCTCCTGCTGGGTTTAGGCTTTATTTGCTGTTCTTTCTCCAGCTCCTTTAGGTGTAGGGTTAGGTTGTCTTGTCCCGAGCTGCTTTCATAATTTTCTCTTTGTCTGTGAGACTTACAAGTTTTACTATTAGATGTTGGGATGTTGACCTATTTTTATTGATTTTGAGGGGGGTTCTCTATGCCTCCTGGATTTTGATGCCTGTTTCCTTCCCCATATTAGGGAAGTTCTCAGCTATAATTTGCTCCAATATACCTTCTGCCCCTCTCTCTCTTTCTTCTTCTGGGATCCCAATTATTCTAATATTGTTTTATCTTATGGTATCACTTATCTGTTGAATTCTCCCCTCGTGATCCAGTAGTTGTGTTTGTCTCTTTTTCTCATCTTCTTTATTCTCCATCATTTGATCTTCTATATCACTAATTCTCTCTTCTGCCTCATTTATCCTAGCAGTTAGAACCTCCATTTTTTTTACTATGTTATGTTAATCACCATACATTACATCATTAGTTTTTGATGTAGTGTTCCATGATTCATTGTTTGCATATAACACCTAATGCTCCATACAGAACATGCCCTCTTAAATACCCATTACCAGGCTAACCCATCCTCCTACCCCCCTCCCCTCTAGAGCCCTCAGTTTGTTTTTCAGAGTCCATCGTCTCTCATGGTTCGTCTCCCCCTCCGATTTCCCCCCCTTCAATCATCCCCTCCTGCTATCTTCTTCTTTTTTTTTTTTTAACATATAATGTATTATTTGCTTCAGAGGTACAGATCTGTGATTCAACAGTCTTGCACACTTCACAGCGCTCACCATAGTACATACCCTCCCCAATGTCTATCACCCAGCCACCCCATCCCTTCCACCCCCCACCACTCCAGCAACCCTCAGTTTGTTTCCTGAGATTAAGAATTCCTCATATCAGTGAGGTCATACGGTACATGTCTTTCTCTGATTGAATTATTTCGTTCAGCATAACATCCTCCAGTTCCATCCATGTCGTTGCAAATGGCAAGACGTCATTCGTTTTGATGGCTGCATAATATTCCATTGTATATATATATACCACATCTTCTTTATCCATTCATTTGTCGATGGACATCTTGGTAGAGCCTTCATTTTTTATTGCACCTCATTAATATCCCTTTTGATTTCAACTTGGTTAGATTTTAGTTCTTTTATTTCTCCATAAAGGGATTCTCTAGTATCTTCCATGCTTTTTTGAAACCCAGCTAGTATCTTTATAATCGTCATTCTGAACTCTAGTTCCGACATCTTACTAATGTCCATATTGATTAGGTCCGTGGCTGTTGGAACTGCCTCTTGTTCTTGTTTTTGAGGTGAGTTTTTTCATCTTGTCATTTTATCCAGAGGAGAATAGATGAATGAGAGAACAAAATGCTAAAAGGGTAACAACGACCCCAGAAAAATATACACTAAACAAATCAGAAGAGACCCGAAACCAGGGGGAATAAAAGGAAAAAAAAAAAAAGATTTTAAAAAAGGAATCAATAAGATAAGAAGTTGGTTGAAAAAAGAAAGAAAAAAATTTTTTAAAAAAGGAGAAAATGTGATCAGGTGGGAGACTAGAACAAAGCCATACACTAGATTTAGGGTATATTTTGGTCTGTTAAAAGAAACTGTATCTCAAAATTTTAAAGAAAGAAAAACTTACATTGAATTTTTCTTCTTTCCTTTTTCAACCAACATCTTGGGAGGAGCCAAGAACTCAGGGCCCCACTCCTCAGTGAGCCCTCAGAGAAAAGCAGTCCATCACTCCTGTCTCCCTGGTCTCCGGCCGCTCTCCGAGCTCACCCGGCTTGTGACTGAGCATTTGTCTCTGGCACATGACCCCGTTTGGAGTCTCCAAACCCAGCAGATTCCTGCAGTGTTTTCCCGTGCCACTCCTCCTGGGGGAAGAAGGGGAGTCTCCCCGGATCTGCCGCTTGTTGGGTCCCGGCTCGATGAACAGCAGCCCGAATGGGCCGCAGATCACGGTTTATGACAACTCCGAGCTGAGAGCCCACTCCTCAGCTCCGTCTTTTTAGCTGGCTTCCCTGCTTTGATACCTGGGAGTTCTGCTGCACTCATGCACCCTTGGTCTTCATGTGATCCCAAGGGTCCTGAGACCACACTGTCCCAGTGAGGGTTCCATACCCCTCTTAGCCACTGGAGCAATGCCCGTCAGTGGAGCAGACTTCTAAAAGTTGCGATTTTTTTTTTTTAAGATTTTATTTATTTATTTGACAGAGAGAATGAGAGAGAGAGCACATGAGAGGGGGGGAGGGTCAGAGAGAGAAGCAGACTCCCTGCCGAGCAGGGAGCCCGATGTGGGACTCGATCCCGGGACTCCAGGATCATGACCTGAGCCGAAGGCAGTCGCTTAACCAACTGAGCCACCCAGGCGCCCTAAAAGTTGCGATTTTGTGCTCTGCTGCTCTATCACTTACTGGTAGCCGGCTGACGGAGGCTCCCTCCCTCTGCAGTGTATCTTCTTGAATATCACCTTGGATTCACTCCTCTGCATGTCCTGCCTTCCAGAAAGTGGTTGCTTTTCTGTTCATAGAATTGCTGCTATTCTTTTCTTCAATCTCCTGTTCAGTTTGTAGGTGTTCAGAATGGTTTGGTAACTATCTAGATGAATTCCTGGGACCAGAAGAAATTTAGGTCTCCTACTCCTCCACCATCTTGCTCCTCCTCCCTATATGTTGTTTTTTAAGATATAATGCTATTGTACACTTAATTGACTATAGTATAGTGTAAGCATAACTTTTATATGCACTGGAAAGCAAAAAATTCATCTGACTTGCTTTATTGTAATAATGGCTTTATTGTGGTGATCTGGAACTGAATCTGCAGTTATGTCTGAAGTGTACCTGTACTTTTTCTTTTTTGTAATGTCCTTGTTGAATCTGGGCGTGAATGTTTTGTTGGCTGTGTAAGACAAGTCAGAATATGTTCCCTCTTTGTCTATTCTCTGGAAAAGTTTGTTAAGGATTGGAAATATTTATTCCTTAAGTGTTTTGTAAATTAGCCATTTAAGCCAGCAAAGCCTGGAGGTATTTTATGAGAAGGTTTAATTATGGATTCAATTACTTTAATAAATAGATTATGGAAAGGAGGTAACTAAACACTCTTTCGAGGACAGTACAGATGTAAAAAAACTATACATTTAAGGAGATAAAGTTGTGTTTTCTTTGTCTCAATGTTTTTTTCTCTGTGAAGTGTGTAGTGTTCTGGCAGGCAGATTTTTGTTTCCCTTTGTTCAACAAATATTTATTGGCCGCCTACTATGTGCCAAACATTCTGCAAGGCAGTAAGGATATAATCATAAACATCATCCTTGATATCATGAACATTATAGTCTGTTGGGGAAGGCATACATTGAAAAGGCAATTACAAAATACTATTTATTTGTGATTGTATTGAGTCATATAGAAAAGTAGTGAACATTTGTAATGGCCACTGTTGAAGGTGGGTGAAAGGTGCTAAGCAATGTTAAGGGCACAGTTGAGCCTGGAGACTATAAATCAGTAAAGGCATCAGACCACATAGCTGGGTAATTTTTTTCCCAGCCATGCTGTCCAGCAAAGACTTATTTATGCACGGAGAAGGTAAGTGGTTGGATCCATTCCATATTGAAGATTTGCAAGATAGTTAGAGTAAAAGGATGAGGAAATGAGGTCACTGATATTGTTGGGACACATATACAATTCCCAAGAACAGTTCTGATTCAGTCCTAGTGCCTAGAAGTCAGGAGATTCTTTCTGTTTCCCCAGATCGTGGTTCTGCTAGTGATTCTGATATGCTCATTTTTTTTGTGGATTTTATGCAAGTACTGGGAAGAAAGGTGGCTGACAGCTGGGCTGTCACTGCAGGTAAGCATCATCCTATAGGTCTAGCGCTGTCTGTCTAGATGTATTCAACCTAACTTTTGGCTTTCTCCCAGATCTTTGCTCCCTACGTGCACCTGAGCAGCATAACTGTGATGGTTATCCTTTCCTGGCCTGTAGGCTTCTACTTGATCCATTTGGAAGAAGAAGGTATGTCATGTGGTAGAATCTTACCTGTTTCTTTGAGCTTTGACTTTAGCTTGTATTCTCTATTAGCAAAATGCGAGTTTGGTAGATTGCCACCAGTACACCTCTTTGAAATTCATTTAGCTTGTTACTCCTACATGCTCTTTGTGGTCGAACTCACAACCATATGTGGCTTGTCATAGCATTTCCCTAGCCATTTCTTAAGAGGGATTCTTCTAGAAAAATAAGAATTTTCTCTATGTTGTTATAGATTGTCTGGGAATGGATTAAGGGTGGGGTGAGAATAGAGGTACATTTTAATTTTATTTGACCAGAATGATTGTACAAGTCACATTAAGTTTAGTTTGTATCAGATATTACTAGTTTCAACTAATGAACTTATGATAGGTCCGGATATCCCTTGTTCCATCCTAGTAATTCAAAGCAGTCTCCCGTGAGTCCCTGACTCACAGCAGAAGCAGAAATGTCTGCCTCAGCCACTGATTGCCTCTCCATTCCTAATATGGAAACAAAAGAGAATCAGAGCTGTATACTAAGTCGTTTTGAGAATAAAATTTTCTCGTAGCACCTTTACTAAAAAAGTAGGATCTTCCTTTCTTTACTGTCTCTCTTTTTACTCTTGGTTAAATAAGTAGTGTTTGCTTCCTGACTTGTGGGAGGATGCAGGCAAAAGAAAGACTGGATTGATACTTTTGCCATTGTGTGCTTGTACATGCGTGTATGAGTAAGTGGAAGTAAATTTTAGGCAATATTTCTGGGGCAGGATCTTAAAAGAGATAGTAATGAACTCTTTTTCATTTCCTAAATTTTAGCTAGAATCAGAAGATACAAGATGACCTATTATGACAGAGAAAGAACCAAGAGATGTAATATACTCACAAAGTTGAGAGGTTAGAGCTGGATATCTAGATTTGCAAGTGATTGGAGCATAAGTGGTAACTTAAAAATATGCAAATGTGTAAAATTCTCAGAGGTCTAAAATAGTAAGTGTTGGGGAAATGACCAGTGATAACAGATATTGTGGACAGGCTGTGTGTGGGGGGGGGTGTGTAGGAGAGAGAGAAAGAGGAGCAAATACCTAATATTTATTGATTACCTATTATGACTCATTACTGTTATATCAATTCTATGAGGTAGATTTTAGTAGCAAGAAACCTCCATTTTTCAGAATGAAGAAAATGAAGATGCAGAGAGGTTAAACAACATGTCCTTAGTCACACAATTAGAAATTGGTAGACTGTGGCTTTGAACTAAGATTTCTGTCAACTAGTGCTCCTTCCACTATTTTGCAGTGTCTTAAATATGGGCATTTTAGGCTTATCTTTACAGGCTTCAGGGCTTTCTCAGAACCAGCCAAACTACTCTTCCTTCTGAGAAGGTATTCCTTAACATTTTCTCCATCTTATGTCCTTCACAGTTCATTCCTTTATAAATTTAGAGTTCCAGTAATTTTTTCTTAATGGTATTGCTGATGTTTGGATATCCCTATACTTTAAAATCACTGAAAATAAGCAGGGATGTGACAGAAATAGAGAGTAAATCAGCCAGTCCACAGAGTCAATGAAACCAATAGACTGGGTATTTACTGTTGGGTAGTTAGTTGCTTGAGATGGTTCTCCATCCCACTTCTGCTTTGTTCTCACTTCTCTCTCTTCCAACTTTTTCAGCTCTACAGGTGGCTATTGGATTGCCTTTTTTCCTTATCCTTTTATGTCTCTATGTTATGCCACTGGGGATTCATTCTCCCTGCATTCAGGAGGAGGGTAAATTGGGACCCAAGCCAGACTTCTTTGGACATAGAGGTGCACCCATGGTAGGTCTGAGCATGGGTGGGTAGAGGTATACATGGGGTGTGTGGGTGAGAGAATGGGACCTCAGAAGCATGGTAACCCCTGGAAAGGAAAAGGGGTTGGCTTGAAATGACAAGAATGAGTTAATTGTAGAGGTTGAATATGAACCCAATCACCTAACTTATTTTTCTGTACTGCGCCCAGTGACATTACCTCAGATGAGCAAAGTCCCAGAATCTGGGTAGAGGAGAATATAGGGAGGCTCTTTGAAAAAAGAGCCAAGGCATCCAAACTCATTTTCCTAAAGCCCTTTCATTACTGGGCTCCCTCCCAGCCATAAAAGGGATATTGAGGGAAAAGACCCTGAGGCATGGTGACTGATGTTATTTTCTTCCACAGCTGGGGCCTGAGAATACCATGATGTCCTTTGAGAAAGCTGTTGAACAAGGGGCCTATGGGCTGGAGAGTGATGTACAATTAAGGTAGGAAAGCAGGGGCTGGGGTGGGGAGGAGTTAAGGCCAATGCCATGGAAGACAAGTAGGGACCCAAGTTGTAGAGAGGGCAAGCCCTGGGAAGTTTCTCCTGTGTTCGTATGGCACATATGCACAGAGCACACACACAAACCACTTCTTCCTTACAAACCATATATCTGTACCCCTACATTCTCAAACATAGTCTCATAAATCATACACACACTATATAGTCTCCATATATAATTCAAATTTGTCCTCATTGCAAACCATGCTGACATTTTAACCCCATGCACTACCTTAGCAATCTACTTAATGTTCCCTGGGCACCTACTGTATTCCAGGCCTTCTTCTGGGTGCTAGAGAGGGGCAAATAATATGTAGCCCTGCCTAAGAGATGTTTCTAGCCAGTGAAGGAGACATAGCATGTTTAAAAACAGAGTATAAAACCATTGTGGTGAGTTCTTCCAGAGAAGAATTAGTCAAATGCAGTGGAACCTCAATGAAGGGAAAGACCACTGTGGCCTTAGAATTGTGTTTATGTTATCTTGAGGAAAATATATTATTTTACCAATCAAAGGTGGGGAAAGAAGGTATTCTGGGTAAATGCAACAGTTTATTCAAAGGAATCTAAATGAGAAATAACAAGTTTGTAGATCAGCAAGCTAACCTGTATGGATTCCTAAAGTGATATGCTTTGGGGACAGGAGAGGGCTATGTGAGGAGGAGGTATGGCTGTAAGGCTCACTGAGGCTGGATCAAAGAGATCCCTAAATGTGTAATGGGCAGCTATGGTAGATTTTAGAGGATATATTTATTGTTTTAGAAAGACTTATTGCGAAGTATATGAGGGAGAATTGTCAGGGAGATGGATGGTAGGCTGTAGCATTGTCCAAAGGGAAACAAAAGAAGACTTGGATCAGAGCAGGGGCGAGGACAAAAGACATGCTTTGCTGTAGAACCTATATGTACCTGAGCAGCTGGAAGTGGAAAGGCTTCATCTCTAGCATGGGTATTTTAGATAATGTGGTGTGTACAAACTGCCTTTACAGCCCTTCTAAGGGGGAAACAGAAGAGAAATGAACCTTCTATTTCACAGATGAGGAAATGTATTTTGAACCTAGATTCAAATAAGAGAAATATATTACTGAAGTCATAAGGCTAGAATGTACATAATAAATCTGGAATTAGAACTAGATTTTCTGACCCCTGAGTGGGGTTCTTGATGTTACCCAACAATGACAGCTGTTTCATGCAGAATGTTTGACTCAGGATTGAAAATGGATAGTCTATCAGAGCTGGGTTCATTTGTTGAAATGCCTCTTGTCCACGGCAAAATGTGGTAAAGGTGCTGAGTCGGTGAACCCTGGCGTCTTACTCTCTCCTGTTACTTCTGTGACTTCAACTTTGATGTAGGTGACCCTTCCAACCCCTCAGTTTCTTTGCTCATTGTCCCTGCACCATCCACATTCATGGTCATACCCTAAGCTTTATGATTACCAAAAATTGCATATCAGCCAGAGTCCAGTCAGGACATGAATAGCACACCAGTAACTTGAACAGGAAAAATGTAATATCAAGAATTAATAAGTATTAAAATGTGGCTAACTACCAAAAGAGGTAAGAGGATCCTGGGGAGTACAAAAGTATCAAGTACAGCTACTGGAACTTCTGTTCCAGATGAAATGCAATAAGCACATTCCACCCTATTTTTTCAGAGTTACCAAAAAACAAAACAAACAAAAATGGACAAAATTCACCTACTTAAAAGTGCACATCCTGCCCACTACTTTCAAGAATAAGAGATGTAGCTGACTTTCCTAACACAAAGAAACAGACACAGAGAGCTAGGCAAAATGAAGAGACAGAGGAATATGTCACAAATGAAAGAACAGGACAAAAACACAGGAAGAGAACTAAGCAAAACAGATACAAGTAATATGCCTGAGAGAGACAGAAAACATAAAGAACCATTCAGAGTTGAAGAACACAATCAATAAAAATATACTTGATGAAATAAATAGCAGGCTGAAAGCAGAGGAACAATTTAATGAACTAGAAGAGTAATGGAAAACAATCAAACTGAACAAATGAGGAAAAAAGATTTATGAACATGAGAATAGACTTAGGGAACTCAGTGAGTCCATCAAGCGTAATAACATTCACATTATAGGGTTCCCAAAAGAAGAGAGAGAAAAGGGGGCAGAAAATTTATTTGAAGAATTAAGAGCTGAAAACTTCCCTAATCTGGCAAAGGAAACAGGTAGCAAGATCCAGGAGGCACAGAGATCCCCCCACCAAAAATCAGCCAAAGTAAGTCCACACCAAGACACATAGTAATCAAAATGGCATAACGTAGTGATAAAGCAAAAAAAATTGTGAAAACAGCAAGAGCAAACACAGCTATATACAAGAGAAACCCTGTGTCAGATGTTTCAGCAGAAACTGCAAGCCAGAAGCGAGTGATATAATATAGTCCAAGTGCCGAAACGGAATAATCAACAGCCAAGAATACTCTTTCCAGCAAGGCTATCATTCAGAATAGGAGAGATAAAGAGTTTCTCAAACAAAAACTAAAGTTCATGACCACTAAACCAGCCCTTCATGAAATATTAAAGGGGACGCTTTGAGTGGAAAGGAAAGACCATAAGTGAGAGTATGAAAAGTAGGAAACACAAGAACAGTAAAAATAAGTATTTCTGGTTCAGGAAAAGATGGCGGAGGAGTAGGGACCCTATTCCAACCAGTCCCTGGAATTGAGCTGGATATCTACCAGACCACTCTGAACACCCACAAAATCAGCCTGAGATGTAAGAAGACATATCTGGATCTCTACAAACAGAATATCGCAGGCGGTTGGTTTCGAGGTATGAAGCTGGGAGCCGTGATTCCGCGGGCACATATCCGAAGATAAACGGAAGGGGGAGGGATCCTACACCGCCAGTGTGATAAAGCCTCCCACGCTGGGGACAGGGCACAGACTCGCAGACCGGTAGCAGTGGGGAAAGGACTTTAGGGCATCTCCCCAGACTGAAACCTGGAGCGGCAGTGCTGCTCGTGCAAACTGGGGATGGCTGGCAGTTTTAGAAGGACAAAGGGCAGAGACGTGCCCCAACCTCAAGGTGAGGACTGGGAGAACTGCTGAGGGGTGCACAACCCAGGATGCTGCAGTTTATTGCAGCACAGACAGAAACAGAGGTACTGTACTGTAGAGCTCACTGAAGAACAGACTGCGATCTCTCTGCTCTGAGGCAGAGGGTTGGAAATGATCTCTTCTGCTCAGACTCTCAGAAGAGACACAGAAAGCTGCCAGGGAAAGCCGCCAGAGAATAAAAGCCTCCCCAAAACCGGTTTTCACTGAGCCCATCCCCCGCCACAGGGGGCAGGGCAACTCTGCCCAAACAGGGTTGCCTGAGTAACAGTGCGGCAGGGCCCTCCCCCAGAAGACAGGCTGGGAGAACAAAAGGCTGGCAACCGTAAGGTCCCTATAAAACAGGTGCATCTTGCTTGGGTTTTGGTCAATAATTTGGACTCTGTACATTCCCTCAGCCATCCCTCAACAGAATAACTAGGAGGAGGAACCCCCAAAATAGGAAAGACTCAGAGACTGTGACTTCTGCCGCAGATTTACAAATGGATACAGATATAACCAAGATATTGTAGATGGAATTCAGGGTAGCACTTGTGAAGACAATAGCTAGAATGGAGAAATTGATTAATGGCAACATAAAGTCTCTAAGGGCAGAAATGAAAGCTGAACTGGCAGAACTTAATAATGCTATCAATGAGATCCAATTCAATCTAGATAAAACGGCTAGGGTAAGCGAGGCAGAAGACCGAATTAGTGATCTAGTAGAAGACCAATTAATAGAAAAGAAGAAAAAACAGGAGGCCAGGGAAAAACAACTCAAAATCTGTGAAAATAGAATCAGAGAAATTAGTGACACCATGAAACATTCCAATGTCAGAATTATTGGGATCCCTGATGGGTGGAGGGAAAGGACTAGAAGATATATTTGAGCAAATCGTAGCTGAGAACTTCTCTAATCTGGGGAATGAAACAAACATTCGTGTCCTAGAGGCAGAGAGGACCCTTCCCAAGATCAAAGAAAACAGGCCAATGCCCTAACATGTAATAGTAAAACTCGCAAATCTTAGAACCAAGGAAACCATCTTAAGGGCAATTAGGGGGAAGAGATTCCTTAAGTACAGAGGGAGGAACATCAGAATAACATCAGACCTATCCACAGAGACCTGGCAAGCCAGAAACGGCTGGCAAGATATATTCAGGGTACTAAACGAGAAGAACATGCAGCCAAGAATACTTTATCCAGCAAGGCTGTCATTTAGAATGGATGGATAGATGCAGAACTTCCAAGACTGGCAGAAACTGAAAGAATATGTGACCACTAAGCCGGCCCTGCAAGAAATATTAAGCGGGGTTCTATAAAAGGAGAAAGACCCCAAGAGTGATATAGAACAGAAATTTATAGAGACAATCTGTAGAAACACGGTGTTCATAGGCAACATGACGACAATAAATTCATATCTTTCAATAATCACTCTCAACGTGAATGGCCTAAATGCTCCCATAAAATGGCACAGAGTTGCAGATTGGCTAAAAAGACAGGATCCATCCATATGCTGTCTACAAGAGACTCATTTTGAACCTAAAGATACATCCAGACGGAAAGTGAAGGGATGGAGATCCATCTTCCATGCCAGCGGACCTCAAAAGAAAGCTGGGGTAGCAATTCTTATATCAGACAAGGTAGATTTTAAGCTAAAGACTGTGGTTAGAGACACAGAAGGACACTATATCATTCTTAAAGGGTCTATCCAACAAGAAGATCTAACAATTGTAAATATCTATGCCCCCAACATGGGAGCATCCATCTACATAAGCCAACTGTTAAACAAAATGAAGAGTCATATTGATAACAATAAGTTAATTGTAGGAGACCGCAATACTCCACTCTCAGCAATAGACAGATCATCTAAGCAGAAAATC